TGTATACAGTGGTGTTTGTTAGAGTAATTAAAAAAAACCAGAAGTAGTCTGATTTGACCAATAAGAATAATTAATTGTACGATCACTTAAATCTCCACCTCATGGAACCACAGAATCATAGAAGTCATAGACTCATAAACTCATAGACTCATAAAGTCAAGAATGGACTTGAGCAATCATCTTACTCAGCTCATTTTAAAAACTGAGGAAACTGAGGTCTCGAGTAATCAATAATACCATTTGTATGAAATTATACTGTACAAAGATTTCACTTACCTCTTCTAATTTGAGTCTTCCAGTAACCCTCGGCAGCACTGTTGTTACCCCTGTTTTTTCAGGGGTGGAACCAGATTCAGACAGGCTAAATGGCTGACCCCAAATCACTGTTTCTCAAAGTGGAGAAAGAACCCCACATCTTGTATTTCCTTACTATATCAGAAAAGGCTCCATCATGATCACATTCGAGCTATGTTGCACTTGACACAAAGCTAATTTAAGACAATTTTCTTCTAGTTCCATAAATATTTTCACTGAAGCCACTTCTGTCTCGAGTTAAGGGATTGCTCAAATGAGTAAATTGCATTTGTGCTATGAAGAAATGTCTTCTGTCCCCACCACACCCACATATCTAAAATTTGTGAAACCCTCTCCAACATTCTTCAGAGTATGTGGAACTCCCAAGGTTTTAAAGCGTGACTCCCAGAAGTTATGCCACTGAAGAAGGCATGGGAGGAAGAAAAGGAAATGAGTGTTTGTCTTCAGCTCTCAGGGAAGAAGATGCCAGGGAACTTGAGTATCCTCTGGCCCTTCCAATGAATGGCTACAGAGTAAAGAAGGTGTACAATTGTGAGTCAGTAAGCCTCCTGTTTAAGGAAGGACACCCCTTCCTCGTACTCATCTCCACTCCCTCCCCAACTCCTCCCGATCAATGGCTTGGATCCAGAACCACTGAGAAAGAATGGAAAATTGAATTTTTTCAGTGATCTACAAATTGGTGGATCCACAGTTCTGAGCTTAAAACATTTCTATCTCAATTCTTTTTTTTTTTTTTTTTTTAAAGTAAATCTTATATCCTCTGCTCTGGAAAACAAACATTTAGCCACACATGCATCTACTCACAGGACCCACATGTTTTCTCAAATAGCTTGTTCTCCCTAAAAATATTTAGAAGGAAAGACTTTCTTCACAAGTTCTGCTCCCTTTGAGAACTTTGGGATTCCCTGATGCCCTGATTAAACACGACGACCGTGCTTTCAAATACATCTTCAGGGATCACTGTGCTTGCCTTAAAAATGTAACTGTTAGGGTATCTTTCTTTTCCACTTTCTCTTTCTTCTCGTTTATTACATCTGATGGAAAAAATGTCCTATACTCCCTCACCAGAGCCAAATCTACTCCTCCCCTTCCTTATAAGAGTAAACTTATAACAGTGAATCCTCAATTTCTCTTAGTTCCATTGCCTCAGTTTTTCTGAGTAAAGACACAGATGAAGCTTGATAATCTTGCACATTGCCCTGCGACACAGGGCAGGCCTGGCTGGTATCACGCTTCTCAGAGGAAAGGCCAAGTTGCCCTTACCTTAAGACGACTTGGGGTGTGCTGTGGTCTCACAAATGGCAGTCATTTCAAGTTAATATGCTTTACCGTCATACTTCTGTATAATGTGGATGCCATTTCTGTTGACATTTTATTGAGTTCAGCGGGAGACTTTATCCTTTCTTCCCTGTACATCCTGCTTCCGTCCTCTCCACTCTTGTCTCATCATTCTCCATCTCTTTTCCCCAAAACATACACTTATGTTCTGTTTCTTCCCTTCTCTTTTCCTGAATTCCCCTTTTCGGGAATTCTTTAGCCGTGCCATATTAAAGCCTATGAGCTTTTCAGGTTATAGATTCATACTGAAATCACAGATTTTTTTGGTCCAGGTTGATTTGGGTTAGATTAGAGTAATCCTAACAGAGGTATCTGTAAACCCTTACTGATTTTATTTATGAAATGCTTGCCATCACCTACTCTGTGACCGGTCCTGTGAAAGTTACAAAGGGTATATTTCCTCTAGGTACTTATCATTGGTCTTTCATGTGTGGATTCTATCTGGCAAAAGGAAAAGAAGGCATAACAAATGTCTCTTTAGAGCGGAGCCCTCAAATGACATCCTGTAGCAAGAATATACATTCCTAACCGTGGTCGGCAATGCATGCAACTAGGTTCAGAAACCTGGGCGAGAAGGCAGGAAACCCCATCACCAAGACAGAAACAGCTTGTGCCTCTCCCCTAGTATGGAGACAGCTCCTCGCAAAAGAAGAAGGCCTGCCCTAGGGGAAGGAGGACGGACGTGGAAGGGAGTTCTGAATCTGACTCTCTGCTACTCCACTTACTAGTTGTGTGTCTCTGGGAGAAGCTGACATTCTCTCTCTGCTGTAGTTTCTCATCTCGAAAATATAATAGCCCTGCCTGTCTTCCAGGTTGTTATTATTATCAAACGACTTAAAATTAGTGGAGCAGTAGATAAACACAAAAACACCTGATAAATATTAGGTACTCTAATATTTGGGTCTCTATTTACAGAAAATAATCCATGTCATCATGTCGTGGGAAAGGTGACTTATCAGTGTCTCTATCCCAGTTGGTGGCACAACTATCATTCCATGAATGACAGATGAGTCTGGAGGCCATACGTATCCCTTCTCTCCATCTATTCTGGCACCTTCCCCACTCGTCAATCATTTATCCTGCTACTTTTATCATCTAGATGTTTCTCAGTTCTGTTCCCTTTTCTCCATCCTTTCTTCACTACCATACTTCATGCCTTCATATCTCTTCCAGATCACTGGAACGGCTTCTAACCGTCTTTGTTTCCTGTCTGCTTACTCTTGAATTCATCTCCAAGTCACTCAGGCACCAGAGCAATCTTAGATGCTAGCCTAACCATATCTTTTCGCTGTTCCAAATTCAATGCCTTCCCAATCACAGCCCTAGTATTAAAAATGCCTTCTAGGTGCCTTCTATCTGCTGATTGTCCAGCATGATATCTGCCCATCTAACTCTACTCCCACCAAAATGGCTGATGCCTTTTTTATTCCCTAAGAAAGTTCAGACATCTCTGAAGCCTTCCTCAACCTCCCTCTGCTACTCACACACTTATTTCCCTTCTCCAGAAATTCTGTGTTCCTCCTCTGGACTCTAGGAATACCCTGTGCCTATCTCTACCTTTGGACCATAATTTTCCCTCTAGAGCCCACTTGGAACCTGGCACACCACAGAAGCTTGGTAAATGTTTGTGGAATAAAAGAATGGATGCCCAGATGGTAATGTACTCATTCATGTGAATTTCTTTAACCAAATGTAAAAAATTTTAAAAAAATGAATTGGGTACCTCACCCTTTGGTATTTTCAGCCATATTTAAACATCTAGTTAGCAATTACCTACGACAAGATCTTTTCACATTTGCATAACATAGAATAATATGAGAAAAATTAGGACACAAAGCCTTTTTCAAGTAATACGTGATCTTTCATCTTTAAAAGCCTTTCTTTTCTCAATGAGCCTCAATTTCTCTAAAACATCATTTTCATTCAGTAGACTCAAAAAAAGAATGAAAAGTTGTAAAAGTTTGACTTTACTCCCAATCAGCGTGAAAGCCATTTCTTTGCTCTGAAGTTGTCCTTTCTGAGAACAAAGGCTCAGGTATTGGGATTCTGAAGCAGCCCTTCAGCTGTGCAGCAAGTGGGACAACAGCAGGGCGAGCGCGTGAGCAGTGGGGAGAATTCACTGACAGATGTGTCCTTGTTCTTTTCAAAGACAGTCCTGGACACTAGCAGGTATCCAGCCGCAGGGCTCAATCCTGCCTTATCTCACTTTGTTTTGGAAATAAATTGAAGGTTGCAAAAGAAAGAAGACTGTAGTGTGGGAAGGCTTAGACATGACAGGAGTTTCTGTTTTCTCTCATTGTCTTATTTTTTTGCTCAGGACTTTATTTCTAAGCTCTTCTCCGTAGAAACCATTACTGTCAAGTATCCCTCCCTCACCTTCTAGACAAGTGCTTTCAAAACTCACTAAACGTCCCGACTCCATGCGGCAGGCTCCTGGATGCTGACATATTCTAGAAAGGGGTTCTGGCCTCCGTGCATTAGCACACTTAGCCGAGAAGTTTCAAACCAAATTTATAGTCATTAACTGCAGGCAAATGGGCAGGGCTGCTGAAGCGTTTAGCTTCTACGGCATTGGATAGGAGGTCAGAGGTGAGAAGCATGTGCCTGGAAAAAGAGCTCAACGGCGAAAAAAAGGCAAAACAAACCAAAAATCCAACAAGCAAACAAACAAAACAAAAAGTAGGCTGATTACTTTTCCCCCCTCTCTCAAAAACGGTCATGTTCTCAGGTTGTGGAACATTTTAATTCCAGGCGCACAGTTGAAAGGACCCTCAAAAGACGCAGCATCTGAGGAGTCTGAAAACCAGCGAAGGAAGCGAGACATTGCAAGTCAAAGTCGCCATCTTATACTGTACAAAGCTCTACGTATCACAGACTCTCATTTCAAATGCGCAGATGTTTGCCTCCGTGTCCCTGACCTTCTGGCAGGGTATTAAGCATTTCTGCAGGTCACTTTGTCCTTTGTGGTTAAAAATGGGAAGCATATAACTTTAATATCAGAGAGTGGCTTAGTCATGCGGGAGAATCTTCTTGAATGATTCACATTCCTGGGGTACCCCTAAGATGCCCACACTCATGCTGAGAGTAGAGCTAAGAATTGTTATATCTATTTAATATAGCATACTCGTGGAGACCAGAAGCTGTAACAAGAAAACCTTTTAACAGAATGATGCATATTTAATGATAGTTTCTGGCAATAGAAATCCATTCATAGGACATTGAGTTGAGGTTATCAAGAAGAAATGTAGCAAACTGCCAAGTGATTGATACCTCGGGGGATGAGAAGCAGTTTTCAGCCAGGGTATCAGCATTCATTCAACAAACCTCTAAGGAGCCCCACTCCTTACCAAGTGTACCACGTGCTGTCAAGGATGCCCAGAAATCTGGATATTTGCCCCTGGTTCGCTAGCATTAGCGAGGTTAGGAGATTCTCCTTCCACCTGCGAGATTACTCCTTCCACCTGCAGAGAGAAACAGAGAGAACGCTCTGAAAGACCCAACTCAGGGCTTCGCTCTCTCCCAAGGGCACAGATGCTCTTAAAGATGGGCACAACGGGAGTCAGAGATGCTAATAATAAAAGCATACACTCGTTAAGCGCATAGTTTGTGCCAGGAACAGTGCAGTAACTCCTCACAAAACCGAGGAGGTGGACTATTTTCCCCATTTTCGGCTGAGGGAAGTGAGTACAGAAAGGTGAAATAGCTCTTCCAAGGTCACCCGCCTAGTCACTGCGGGTTACCTCAAGCTGTCATGAGTGCCCCCTGGGACGGCCACATGAGGCAGGAACATGGTTTTCTACCATCTCACCAGACTGCGTGGCAGCCGCCATTCTATGTCTTGCTTCTGTGGCTTATTCTTTTGAAACACTAACATAAAAATTGGGAAATATATCTGCGATACTGTTCTAAATGACTAGAAATTAGTGAATCAACACACCAAGCATAGAAAAAGGAAATATCCTCAGGTGTCTGTGTTCTGGGGTTCCATCCTCAGCAATTTTATATTTGTAAAATGATCATCTTAAAATGCAACCCACTTTAGCCTGGATAATGTGGCCAGTGGATTATATTCTGTCACTCCCCCCGACCACATGTACCTAGTAGCAGGGTGTCCTGCTTACCGCAGATATTAATAAACATGAATAGCAGGCTGCTAAGAGAGTCCGAATGTCCTCTGACATGTAGTATCAATGATAGGACATGAGCTATTTTTAATTTATATTGCCAATGATACTCAGGATCATGGAGCTTATACAAAGTATAAACAAAATAGATTTCTGTAGCACATGTGATGAAGAGCAACAACATTGACTTTCTGATCTTCTAAACATCCTTTGAATAAGAACTAGATGATCCCATCTTATGCGCCGCAGGGTGAATTTATACACGAAAGCACATGCACAAGGCTTCATTGACACCCACAATGACAGTTGCTTGTACTTTTTACACCAAATAGAAATGGGTAGGGGTGCTAACCAGAAACACCACGAGGACTATTAAGATGATGCGTGTAAAACATCTGGGCATAAAAGCCACTAAAAAAATCACCATCAAGTCAAATTGATGGAGGCTTCTAGTATCTAAGCGATTTCTCCCATCAGGAAGAGTGAGGTGCTGGCGATCGCAGGCAGGGCTCTCACGGCGTCCCCTCGGAGCAGGGTGGTTGTGTTGTTCCCTGATAGGTTGCACGCATTTTCCCATTGGCTCTCTTTAGTTAGAACCTTCATCTTATCTAAGCCAGTTTCATGGGTTTTATATTAATAGGTATATAAGGCTATAGAGTCTTGCTTCATATATCATGGCACTAGAGGGGCTATTTGCCTTTTCCCTATCCAGGAACTGCCCCCTATTTTTGTAACTAGCTTTGATTTTCACTTTGGAGAAATCATTTCTTCCCCTTTGGCATCCCATGGACTTCTAGAAATATTCACCCCTTCCTCCCCTCCTTCATAGGGTACATTGTCTGGAGTGTATTTCTTTTCTCTTCCCCTCAGCAAGACAGATTGTTTCAAAGACTGATAATTGACCAAAGCCAGGTCATTTAGAGTCAGTGAGACTCACTTCAGATGCTTTGTTGTTTGAGCTGTGGAGGAAGGCAATGCTCTGTTGTCCATTGACTTAAGACTGTGAGGATTAGAAGCTGCAGCTGCAGCAGCCACATTGTAAACATGAGGGCATAAACATGCCTAAACACAGAGCCCTCCACAGCAGGCAGACCCAAGAGATGTAGAGAAGGAAACAGAGCAGGTGACTTTAATTGAGCTCTAGCACAACCCCAGCTGCAGCCAGCCCTGTTGCCCGGAATTATGATTTTAGAGCCCAAACATTTCCTTGTTGCCTAGGCAATTTGGGCTACATTTTTTTTTTCTATTTCAACCCAAAGCATTCTAATTGATATATACACCATGTAAAACTATAACTTAAAAAACAGCTTGCTTTTGTGATTGAAACAATCCTTATGAAGCCTAATATTATTTCACTTCCAATCAGCATATTCCTATCTGAATTATTTAAAAATTTTTCACTTTGTGAGTGGTGACTTTTGTGTTTAGGATAACTTAAAAATATAGCTCTTGTTAAATATGTGTGACATCAATTGCATCAATGTAACACATTCATTTCATAGGCCTGGGAAATTTGTAATCTTGCCAACCTCTCAAATTGCTTTTGGATACTGTTATCTTGTCTCATTTCTCTTAAGTCTCAAAAGAGTGATGAAATAAAGTCTTATAATTCATTCATTTGTCAAGGAAATGCAGTCAATGACATATGGAAGATCAAGCTGACTTCACCAAAGTTGAAGTTTGAATTGGTAATAAAACAGATATAAGTGAAAGGAATGTAATATTCCTGCTTTTGTGGCTAGTTCTTATGTATTATAAAACTCTAAATGATTGGGGATGCTTCTAGACATATATCCCTAGTCTTCAAAGTTGGCACCTTCAAGTGCACTAGATTCTTGTTTCTTATGGCGTACAAATAATTCCCTTAGAAACTGAGTTAACAGTAAGTCACCCAGAAATTGACCATGCTCGATTTAGTGAAAACAGCTATTGTGTATCTCTTAATTAAGGAGTTTCTTAAAGGGCCATTTGGCTCTAAAGATGTGACATTATATTATAGACATTTAAACAAATCATTTGTAAATGCTTCCTGAATTTTTCAATTTTCATCTGGTCCTTGGAGATTGTCTATTTAATTAGTAGCTACTTCCTGCAAGAACTGCCAGTAAGCAAATCTAAGGGTTCAATAATGTGAAAGGTACATTAGCAAGTATATTTAGCCTCAAGATGAACTTCGATCATGTAGCTCTCACTAAAGTCATTAACGGAAGACTTTCCTAAATCATTGATAGCTTCCTTATCATTCCCATTCAACGTCACGGTTTTGGTCATTATAACTGCTAAGAATAAAACTCCCTTAAGCCAGGAAAAATAGTCGACTTTACAACTGAACCTTACAAATATTTTCTCCTGCTCTAGTGTTGCCTTTTAACTTTGTTCATAGAGGTTTAAGCTATTCACCACCAGCCTTTGATTTTAATATCACAGTAGCCACAAACTGGGGGCAAAAACAACCACATTCTTTCCAATATGTTTGGTTTGGGAATGAATGGCCCAAGGGCCTTCAGAATTAGGTTTTACCACTCTCCATAGCCCAGTATGACCCTGGCCTGGCTGGGATTATAGGTATCAATAACTGGATTTTCAACAGCTTTTGCACAAAACCAAGCACATAAAAGACTGTACTAGAGACAGTAACAGCCAGATAAATGTTCTTAATTACTTAGCCAGTCCGAGTTCTACTTTGTGATTTTCTTAATTACACCCAGATTAATCAATTTGCACATCTAAATCTTATTTATACTCACAATTATTCTAATTAGTAATAAATCTGTAACATCTACAGGTCAAATGGGTATTTGCCCACTTTCCCTTTGCATTCTTTTTTCATTTCTTACTGTAGATGCATTTAAAGAGCATATAACGCATTCCTTTCTTTCAGAGGGCAGTGAAAGCCCTGGTCCCTTGCTGTCTATGAGCAGACTTTCCTAACAGTTATTAATGGCAACAAAGTATTTGTTGTTGTTTTGGGAAAAAAAGGAGTTAGTGACCTGTTTTTCACAATGCTAATGAATCTAGTCTATTCATATCGCTGCCCAGTTTCTTTTGTTAATTGAAGGGTTTTTTCCCCCTAAATATTGAAAATTCTTTTAAGGTTCAATGAAGCTTAAAGCTTTCTCATGTGTCTGTTTGTTTTGAAACAATTATTTTGAGACATAGCATGACTTGTTTCCTCATAAGATTCTCAGGCAAAAAAAGAGTTTAATGAAAAGATATAAAGTTTGAGGTTATATGATGACCTGAAGAACAATTTTGTAATCTAAGGGGACAGGCTACCTCATTTAAGGCTTGTTTCTCAATGTTCTTGAATGGAGAAGTGGTGACTTCATGAATACTCCTACTTCTTAACCCCTAACTTGTTCCTCTGGGTCTCAGCAACGCTAGAAATGAGCCTATCGTAGATCATCAGCTGGCAAGTGAGTCTCAGGTCTTCTGTGGAAGAAATGCCACTGTCATTAAGGACGTGAATTCCCGAGCTTGGCAGCAAAGTGTTCCCCCCATAGACGGGTGGTGGTGTATTTAATCAGCTTAGAACTGCCTCTCTTTCCTGTTGTGATACTGAGCTGTGGAGCTACCACACAAGCGGAAACAAAGAGGAAAAGGTCTTCTTGGTAATTACAGAGAAAGAGAAAGCATTGATTATAATGTGCCTGCATTGAAGAAATGATTCTAGAATAAAAAATACTTCTACGATGACAGTAATATGTAGGGTCATAGTCACAATGCAATTGACTTTTCAGCTTCCACATTAATTACTATAATCACAACTCTAAAGGGGACAAACGTATTGGCTAAAAAGAACTTTTTTCGGGGGGCATAATATGTACAAGTTTGGGAGGAAAATAATATTATCTTAAAAAAGGAGAAATCATTTTTTCTCCACCCATAGAAGGGAACGCTCAGTGGGTTGGGATGGAGAGGGAGAGGTGGGTGGTGGCTTGGGTGAAAATTTGCCATGAGAACAAAAACTATCTTCTGAGCTCACATGGGCTGAGTACCCTATTGGTGGAGAAAAGGGAAATTGGAAGGAATACTGTTATTAACGAGATAACGATATATTTGGAAACTCTTCATTTACACACATATGCAAATACAAAGATAAAATAGCTTTTAAAGCTCAACACTTACAAAGCAACATGGGCCAATCTGAAGCGACAGAACATAGGAGTGACCTAGGCCTGCTTGCTGAGAAGTCAGTTTCAGGTGGTATTTGGACAGCTTAGCAGGTAGGAAGACAGGCCCAGGTGGATCTAGATTGAAGTCCCAAACCTGCCTCTTGTTCCCTGAGCATCCCTGGGACAAGTTACTTACCTCCTCAGTTTTCCCTTCTGTAA